ATGATTCTACAACTTCTTGTTTTGAAAATTTTTAAATATTTATAATATTCCAAAAGTTTAAGGGGCAATAACTCATTGAAGGGGTCATCGAATACTTTTGCAATGAATAGATTGAAGAGTTCCCTTAATTAGTTGAAGACATTGATGAAGGTTTCATAACTCTATGGTTTACGGTTTCTGAGGAGTAGTGATAACAAGCATTTCTTGCAAAAGGGGCAATAACTTCGAAAGGGGTCAAAGATCAAAGATGGGGGGTCATTTTTCGGAATAACTTTTAATATCTAATATCATCAACTATAAAGTTTTTCGATAAGTCTTGCGGTTTCAAAAGTCCTCCAGAAATAAAATAATAATAAACATAAGTATTTCAAGAGTTTTTTTCACAGAAAGGTGGAATGACCTAATAAACAGAAGAATATCAATAGGTCTTTCCACAGAAAGGTGGAAAGAACTAATAAAAAGGAAAAAAAGAAACAGAAGGAAATCAATAGGTCTTTCCACAGAAAGGTGGAAAGACCTAATAAACAGAACAATTTCAATAGGTCTTTCCACAGAAAGGTGGAAAGACCTAATAATCTTTACCATCAGAATCAGTAGAAGGTCTTCCGTTGGAAACGGAAGACCTTAACAAAACTTATAGGGTCCTTCTGTTAGCAGTTGAAATTACTGATAATTAATGTCATATATTTCAAATCAGGAATTTCAATCATTTAACCATACATTGACACAAGCACTTGGCAAGCATTACTAAGAACTGTCTTTGCCAAGTATTTAAAAAAGAAAGTGATTTGAATAATGAAATTCCATGAATGGAAAAAGTTTGATATAAAGTAGAAACAAGTCATGTATATAAATAATTCATGTAAATCTTTAGAATTAACATCTAAGATTGAGTTCTAATGCAATATATAGGGAATATTACATACTAAAATTCATATCATATATCATATCAGCCCGAGTGGCCCCATATCAGCCCGAGGGCTGATGTGACATATGATATGGGTTTTAGTATGTAGTATTCTATTTATCATATATTTAAAACACTTAATATGCAAGTTCACATATGGTCATTTATGAATATTTCGTGCTTGTTTGTGACATTTCTCTTTAAAATTCAAGAAAGCCTATTTTAGGTAACCGAAAAAAATTAAGACCATAAATGTCATTAAAGAAAGATTTATTATGAATTTTAAAAAAGAATCAAGTAAATTGACTTTTAAACTTAATACAAACGTTACTTCCGGTGTGATATGGATTGTCGGCCTGCCGGTCCGATACGTGATATGGATTTTCGGACTTGCACGGTGTGATACGGGTGACGTCACAATACCCCATATCACGGACCGGTCCGAAAATCCATATCTCGTATGTATATTTAAAAATCGCCCCGCTCATACTGAATATTTTAGCATTATATCTTAAACATAGATTTCTCTTCTACCCTACTTTATGTATGTCATAGAATATAGTATTCGGAAATAAAGGCTAACTTTACTTAAAATTCATGTTTGTTAATACTAATAACCACCTTTGTTTATTGTAACCTTAGAGATGTGCATCAAACACCAAAGAACCATAAAAAATAATTGCATAGTCAATAAATGAGCACTGACAATATAATTATATTGAGGAAGTTTACATAAAAGAGAACATTCAAATCTTTATTTTTCAGATACATGTCCTTTCATTATATATCAGAATGGATCATCTGCCTCGTTTGTCAGAGGCTGTGTATGTAGGACTGTGTCTAAAAATAGGGAGTCCGTCAATGGTGAGGATGAGGAGAGAAGTGATGGACACAAATGAGGCGGTGAGTCAGCCTGTAAACATATTGAAGGGATTTGACAGAATGGAAAGTGTGAGTAAACGTGAGGGATTCAGACTAAGCACTTCTGATCCAGATTTCATGTTATGGTCTTCAGACCACAAGGTGATATGTGATCTCTCTCAGATCAGTTTCTATCGTATTTCACAACACACCGTGATTCTGATGGAGTGTGGTGATCTACCACCGGGATTTTCCAGACTTAACCTGATGAGTCAATCTAATAATTCACAAACCATTTCCTCTTGCGTAGTAGTGAATAACAAAGCATATCTTTCAAGTACATTATTCAGAGATAACCATTTGCGTTTCGTTAGGTCTTGCAATGTTCCTTTGACCAATGCTTTCCCTCATGGACCTTGTTCTAAATATTCCTTATTCCAAGAAGCAGATACTGGTTTAGCGTTCTGTATCCAATCACATCACTGGCCAAAGTTAGCGCTACCGTGGATAGAAAGATGTTGTGAACGGGGTTGGCCAGAACAGAATGTTTTAGATGGTATATTAAATGGAGGATTCCATGTTGTCCCTATCGGAAGTACATCTGAAAATGAACTCGAATGGCGAATCTCGTTCTCAAAAGCAGAACATAAAGTCCTTTATTCAATGAATCACTGTCAGTTTTTGTGTTATGGTCTTCTCAAAAAATTTCTGAAAGAAGTTGTTAATGGCCGGACCAATACAACCATTCTCTGCTCATACTTCATAAAAACTATCGTGTTTTGGGTCATATAGACCAATACGTCTTTGTCTTGGACACCTGATAATTTATTGTCTTGTTTCTGGAAAAGCTTTAAATTATTGATATCCATGGTGCTTACTGGAAATTGTCCAAATTTTTTTATTCCACAAAACAACATGTTTAGAGTGAAAGTCACTGGTTCTGTACAATCCTCATTGTTAAGTCAATTGTATGATTTGTATAGTAATGGAATACCGTATAAGTGGAAATTTTAGCGAGACGCAATTTTAGCGATTTATACCTAAAATATAGTATTTTATTTTTAGCGAGAAGTAATTTTAGCGATTTTAAAGTGTTAACTAAAGAAGCTATTACAAATAATACGGAATTAATTTTTGGCGATGTTCAATTTTAGCGATATCAACACCCTCGCTAATAATGCCAAAATTAAATCCTCGCTAAAAATTCTATTTATAGTGTATCTTATCTTCTATTGAAACAATCCAACCTTACCTCAGCCTTGCTACATATTATAGGACATTGAGATTCAGTTCAGACGAGAGCAGTATTATATCAAGCACTGATTTAAATAGGTCTTTATTTGTTGAATTATTAATATTTCATCCAACAATTTGGAATGATGTGGAATTTGCAATTTACATGAAACAAATCGAGAGAATGACTAGTTGAGTGTTGACATCGTATCAGACACTCGTGTTACAATATATGACATCACGTGTGCTAAGGAATACTGCCATGTTCTTACAGAGTTGTATGTATCTAAATAAAACTGGGAACAAGGCTTGTTATAAATCAAAAGTAACTGCTTTACTAAACCAGTCCTGTAACTTTGGATATTTATCAGTTATTCTGATTCTTGCTATCCATTTCTATAGAACACGTAGATACATGTGTATGAAGACTTACTCAGGTTTTTACATAAAGGGCATGAGAGAATGTTATTGCCGTATGTCATGTATACGGAGCATGTTAATGTTATGTACAGTTACTATATGGAAAGGGATACCCTAGGTTCTAAGATGAAGAGAGCTGTTGTTAGACATATTGATATTTAGTGTGACTACAGTTACATTGTTGAACTTGTATTAGAGCAGGATACTAGTAAAAAAGAATAACACATTACACATCCCACCTCTAGTGAAGATACACATGTTTATACAGAGTCACCACATACTGAGTGACACAGTCAGGTCACAACAATCTCTACAGGATCTACAAACTCTGCTTTGCAATGATGATAGGACCCGTGTACCTCTTCTCCTCCGAGATATTTCGTGAAAAATTCTGGGAATATGTCATCAAATTTTCGGGAATTATTTAGAATCCCTACAATGTTATCATTATTCCTTACTAAGACTAAAATATAAAACTATAACGCTTCAGTTTTGCATCTAATTTAGACTCTACTATTTGATATACGATAAATAAATGCCGCATTTATTGTAATTCATTTTATCCGCTTGAATAATGTACAGGTAAAGATTCTAAGCTTTGTTTTGTATTTTAAATTTCTGTTTCTTTGTTATCGTCATTATTTTGTTAGTCCTTTTAAATCATTTATTGTTAAGAAACATAATTGTAGTCTACCTTTATGAAATTAATTGGATATACATAAACACATTGCAACATGTACGGATACACTCCCTTTATATTTCTATAAATGTTCTAATGGATATTTTTATTAAAAATTGTTAGGAAAAAATAATTTATATCAAAATTAAAATTAGGTTATTCTATTTTATCATCAAATTAATCTCCGTCTTCGTTTCAAAAACGTCATTTTCTTTTACAAAGGTATTGTTATTGAAAGTCTTTATTTCTAAGACGTCATTTTAAAAAAAAAACAGGATGACGTTATTGAATAACATCGTTGGCGTTGTTTCATTGCAACATGTTGTGTTTAAACACGTATAACTTTAAAACTTTAGCAAATTAAATGCTCAAATTTTGACTGTGTGTCCCAAATTTGCTGTAGATTTGAGATATCTGAAAAAGTGTATTTCGAAAATTTTGTCATTAAGACCCCTTTTACCAGAGAAAGGTCCAATTATATATCATCAGCCCCGTAAACAAAGTAGACAATTAAGCATTGAATTCATATTTTTGGTTGTCTTCGGTCCTATAACACACCTGGCCGTGCCGACAAATTGAATACCGCGCGTTAGCGCGGTATGATAAATTTGTCGGCACGGCCAGGTGTGTTATAGGAACGAAGACATCCCAAAATATGAATTCAATGCTTATATTTACATTCTCTAATTTTCCTTCTTCATAATTGCTAATTTCATTAACATTTAATGTAAATTTAGCGCCCTTCAAAACTTAAGTGGTTAATAGACGTAGGAGCCGTTTGTGACGTCAGATGACGTTGCAAAGTTAAATTACGCAAACAAACATTGCGATTAAAAAAGTGACAAATTAATTCTTTACATACATTACGTTAATTTCTAAGTTAATTTTTCAGGATTGTAGTTTTTCATTAAATTGAAATAAAACATTTTACATTTTGGTGTTTTTTGAGTATTGAAAATGCATATAGTTCCTACTGTGTATTCTAACGCGCGGTGACAAGGTTTCGCGTGTGTTATAGAAATTTGAACGTCGTGGATTTCTAATGGATTTGATAGGGAAAATTATACTGAATGTAAATATTACAAAAATATATACACTTCTGATATATGTATGCTATTTATTATTTAAGAAGCCATGATATAAATTGTTAAAGTTCTTTTAGTTTCGTTTATGTAAATTTTTTAAATCGACACTTGAACAATCTGATGGTGGATCATAGACCGGCGCGTTTGTAGAATGTCACTTTTTTGCTAAATCTTTTTTTAAAAAATCAATTGAATGAAGATTTGTTGTTGCCTGTAGCCATAATGATCAAAGTAAGAAATTGGAACCCTTGTGTTTGAAAAATAAATACTACAATAGTTTCAATAAATTTGAAATTGAAAAGGTCGCTTTCGATACCTGTTTCATTGTATTGCATGAATGACAAAAATGTTTGACACTATTATGAATGGCACTAATTAAACTCTCTTAACCCTCCCGTGTTTGTAAAAACAAATACATACAAATATGTATTTATTAAGCGGCACGACTTTGACTATAAATGATAGAAAACCTGCCGACGTTTTACACTGAGCACCTTTGAGGAATGTTTATTTGGATTGATTGATTGATTGATTGTATATTTTTTAACGTCCCTCTCGAGAATTTTTCACTCATATGAAGACGTCACCGTATGCCGGTGAAGGGCTTCAAATTTTGACCTTTACTCGGCACTCAGGGCCATTGAGCAGTTAGGCATCTTTATCGTGCCAACGCCTGCCGCTGACACGGGGCCTCGGCTTTTAAGGTCTCATCCGAAGGACCCTCAACTTTCACTTCAAAGTGCCGAGCGCATGGCGAAGTAACAGTTGCTACCCATTTTTTATCGACTTAAGTAAGTCACGGCCGAGATACAAACTCACGACCTCCCGATCACGGAGCGAGCGCTCTACCGACTGAGCTACCGTGAACGGTATGTTTATCTGGAGAGAATTCACGTGACCATAAGTATTTTAAATAAATCATTCTACACGTGGGTTCAACATGAGTCATACAGGTAAATAGTTCTCACTTGCTATAGGAAAAACATTGTACATTTTGTATATTTTTAATATTTTAAGTACCAGCCTAATCGTGTACAAATTTTCTACGTTCACACAAGTTTTAAATTAATTATGCGTCTTTTGTCATTCGCTCAGGTTTGAACAAAGTTAGGCTCATAGTAAACAAAAGCTTTGAAATGAATTACCGTTCTCGATTTACTGTAGAAAATCACAAATGTCGACTGTCCCCTGCAACATTCTATGGATTTGTTCTTAGTCACCCCTACTAATGTTATTGTGATTTAAATTCAAGACACGTGGTTTAGGTTGATCTATTCAGAGGTTATAGGGTAGAACTGGTTTATAAATAAAATTGGCAGTAAACAGGATATTGCTATAGCCTGTTTCTTTTCAAAACATTTCTTGTAATCAATGTTTGCAGACCTTTCTGAAAGACTTTCATGATTTTCAACAGAAAAAGGGTGGCTAAAGGAGGGGGTGTTAAAATAACAATAACAAAAACGAAAATTAGAGCTCACTAGTGATAGATTCGCTGGTAAAAATGTGTATTTTCATCTACACTGACAAACCTTTGTTTGCCTTATATAGCTATTGTTATAAATGCGCACAGAGAATCTTACCACGAGCAACTGACCAATCGTTGAATGAATAGCAGCGTTTACGCCAAATACATGTTTAAATTTTACTTCGAACACGTGGTTCAGGTCAATTTAATCTATGATCATGTCAATGGACTGCAAAATAAAAATACAAATGTTCTTACGAACAAAATACAAAGATAAGAAACTATGAAAGATGTCATTTAATTTGTTGTTAACTGGCAATAATTTTTGATAAAATGTAGTTTGTGTCTACTTCAGAACAGCAGTGCTTCAAGGGTAAGGAAAACGAGCAGCATCCCATGCATTTAAATGGATAAACTTTGTTTACGTTTGTGATCACGTGTTCGGACAGGGAATCCACCTGGCAATTGTATTCACCGATAGTACACAAAGGAATTAATACAGACGCAATTCGCTTTTGCAGTATGACTTTCAGATACCTAGACTTCCACCGTTTATTTAACAAATGAATTGTTTGTCATTATGAGCATGAAAATAATATTTCTAAAAATGCTTTTTATTTACCATAAGATCTTCCTTTTCTTTCAAGCGTAAAATTCCTGTAGTTATCGTAGTAACCCATAATGCAATACTCATTCAGCTGATTGGTTAGTTAAAATCATGCTGGTGCCTCATTTGCTAATCTGACGGCAAAAAATATGGTCCCGGTTCCCATGCAAAAATATTTGTTCAAAAAAAAATTTTAATTCATGACTGCAGATTGTATTATAGAGAAAAATTATTTAAGATTGAATGAATGTAAGAGTGATCGATTGATTGAAGTACATATCTACAGCGAGACATTATCAGCTG